ATTTAACATCCTCTTGAAAAAAAGAACACAGGAAATACAAGAGACTTCACAGGTATCCTGTGAGGTAAGCAACAATTCCAAAATAGGCAAATCTACCTCATGCTTAAGAACTACTGGACCAAGGCAACAATATTATGCAAATTTAGCTGGAGTTGCCATCAGAGCAGATTGAGGTTGTGTAAGATGTTCTTCTCCCTCCCCACCCCTCACTTTAAGAAGTGAGCCAAAGAGTGTAGGCATCTAGAGTTATCATCTTCCGATGCTGACCAACACTGAATTGTTTTTTAAGTCAGTCCTGCGTCGTTTAATGGCAGGGAGATGTTCTGAGAAATGGGGTGTCAGGTGACTCCGTCATTGTTGAACATCACAAAGTGCACCTGGAAGGCAGGGCCTACCACACACGTAGGTTCTATGTGGTTCAGCCTATTGCTCCCGGGTTACAAACCTGTATAGCGTGTCACTGTACTGAATACTGCAGGCAGCTATAACAAAATAGTAAGTGCAATATTTGTGTATATAAAGATATCTAAACGGATTAAATCAAGCACAAGAGAAAGTGATGCAATCAAGACATGCAGTAAACGCAAGATATATCTGAGGCTGCTACCAGAGTAACACGGCACTGTTTTACAACAAATTTTTTATTTTTTAAAAGTAGAAAGATTACACTTAACAATAAAAGTACAACATAGTAAATATATAAACCAGTAGCATAGTCGTTTATTATCATCTGGCATACTGTACAAAATTATATATACTATACTTATGTACAACTGGCAGGACATGTTTGCTTACACCAGCATCACTACAAACGTGTGAGCAGTGTGTTGTGTTCTGATGTTAAGAAGGCTACGCCATCATTGGGCAATAGCAATTTTTCAGCTCAATTATTATTTATGGGACCACCATCATCTGTGCTGTCTCTCACCAAAACATTGTTTTGCGGTGCTTAACTACAGTTACTATGATAATTGGTACACCAAATCCTTTAGTGCCACTGTTCTTCCCTGTGTCCAAGATAAACTTTTATCTTAACTGTCCCGGATAATGTGCATCTGTGATTTCCAGCCTAAAATTTATCTAACTGTTGTAACATCCACTGGATTTTGCATTTTCAGCTCAGTCATCATCCTTCTAACTCTAAAGAAATTTCAATGACAATCCATCTTCTTCTTTACCTAATGTGTTTTGACTTTAACATCATACATAAAATAATTTTGCATTCATTCTTTTCATATTTTCCTTCTGTCTCACAAAGCCATAACTCTTACAAATACAAACACAATACTAAATAGATTCTACATCCCTTTTTTCTTGCCTGGCTCAGTTTCTTCATGAGGAAATTGAGGTAAGAACAGTACCTATCCTAAAGAGTTGTTGTTAGGATTAAATAAAAATATTTGCTAGTGCCTGCTCCATGGAAAGTGTTGTTAGCAGTTATTGTTCTTGTTGCCATTTCCCCCCAGAGATACTGTTTTAATTACTAAAAGTAAATATAAAGAAAATTTAAATAGGATTGAGATGTGTTTAAAGTATACTGTCATCAAGTGAGAAAATAGCATTGACATACGTAACAGGGCAGTTTATGATAAAAACTATAGTAAATTAAGGTGAGACTGAACTTGTTAAATCTATTTTTTTTTATTATCAGAGGGCCTAGTGAAGTGAATAACTTTAAAGGCTATAATAATGTAAATTTTTGGTCATGTCTCCAAATAAGAGCTATACTCAAGGTCCGAAGAATTTTTTTGAATCAAATAATTTACTCTAAGTAGGAGCAAGAATTGTATCACAAGACTTTTTTTTAAAAAAAATCCTCACCTGAGGATATTCTTGATTTGAAAGAGAGAAACATCAATTCAGTTGACTCTCATACATGCCCCAACTGGGGACAAAACCCGCAAGCTTTTGGTGTACAGGACAACACTCCAACCACCTTAAGCACTGAGCAAGGGCTCATAAGACTTTTTCTTCGTAATTGTTATTAACTAGAGCAATGGTGTGATAAGCTGCTTAATGTGTCTAAGTCCCAATTATGTTTTTCTTGAGGGGACTATGTAATGTTGGAATCAGCAAACACTAAAAGCTGGTAAGAGCAAAAGCAGCCACCTTGGAGAAGAATAAAAAGGCACAAGTAACACCACTAACAGTTCAGTATGTGGTTTGTTTATCGAAAGAGTAAAAGCAGAAACATTTGACCCAAGTTTTATCTGGTCCCTCCTTATAACATGTCAGTGGTACAACTACTTTATCAACATCATCACTAAATATGAAATAATGAGAAACAAGATCAGTAACAACAAACAGCATGCTGGAGGGCAACCAACGTGCAAGTGCGGTCAAGAAACCAAGTGCGGTGAAGTGTGTACAAGAAATAGTGCTACCACACACAGGACATTTTAAAGAACTGTAGGGAAGGTGGCAGACAACTGGAAACTTCAGCAGCTGTTATAAAAGTCTCAAATTAGGGGAGTCACAAGCAGAAGAAATCCCTCCAACTGACAGATACTCATTCTGAAGGACACTTAGGAAGATATACTTATTCTAAGAATGGCAGGGGATGATCAAATTATGGCAGTTGGGCACTTAATTCTTACATTGCCTTCAGAACTCTGTAGGCATAATTTCAGAGACCTACATTTTTAACCCCAACTGCTATTTCCTAGCTTTACTACCCATCATTTTCACTAGTTCTGTTTCAAAAGAAAAAAGACCTCTAGAATTGAGAGCCTTTGATGTCACCCAATTAAGCTCATTTACAAGCAAGAAAATACAGGCCAAAAGAGATTAGTTTGTACAAATTCTTTCAGCAAGTTAATACTAGGATATACCTGCTCACCTGATTCATGGTCATAACTGTGACATCACAGGGCCTCTCTAACTTGTTTCAGAGGTTTGGGGGCACCATAAATTTTAAAGGATGTCAAATATATGGTGACCAAAAGACTAGGCACACACAATGCAATACACAGATGTATTATAAAACTGTACATTTACATGTTTTTCATGCCACCCCAAAATATATAATAAAAAATAAAAATAATAAAGAATGTGTGATGAGTTCATAAGCAGTTTCAATAGAAGAGGAATTGGTACAGTAGTTTGAAGCTGCAACTCTGAAGGAGTGTCAGATATAGCAGTGCACTCAATACACATTTTTGAATGAGTGAATCAGATGTAAATGTTGGGCATATTTATTAAAATATCGATCATATTCCTTCCTCAAGTTATGCCACATATTTCTGAATTCTCCATCTAGCAAGGGTGTCCAACATGTGGCCTGGGGGCTGCATGCAGCTCAGAAAGGCCATGAATTCAGCCCAACACAAAATCATAAATTTACTTAAAATATTATGAGATTTTTTTTGTGATTACATGTCAAAATGTATTTAACGTGTGTGTGGCCTAAGACAACTCTTCTTCTTCCAGTATGGCACAGAGACACCAAAAAGTTGGACACCCCTGATACAGGCTGCTCAGGTATTAGTTTTTTTCAATTAGTCAACTGTTACAGATTTTTAAAAAATCTTTTTTCCAAATACTTTCAAGTTCCAGTCCTCATTCCAGGTCCCACCTTTAAAGAGGAAATTCTGCATCTGGCTAATGTCCTTCAAAGGAGAAACAAATTACTCCCCCTTTTCATATTCTAATTCCATAACTAGAAATTCTAATGACAGAATATTTTATGTAAAGTGAGGAAAATTATTAAAAGGGGTCATGCTAAAATTCAATAGTTAAGTTCCCTCAAAGCTTTAATTACACCCATACATACAAAGATCAACAAAAGATGTCCTTACTGTTTCACTGTTATAAAATGAACGGCATGATGTGGGGTTATAGATTATGTATTTTTTGTGCTTTTGTCTATTTTCTAAACTCTAATGCCCATATAGTCACTCATACTGTCAAACATGTAACAAAAATAAAACATACTTAACTACCTAGAGCAGTGATTTTCAACCAGTGTGCCCTACGCATTTTAAAAATATGCAACACCTGACACTTAGTCAGGCGCACTGACCTCTTTTCCCTTAGTCAAATTGAAAAATGACTGCAGCCAACACAAAATAGCTGATGATTTAAATGAATCAAAATTATAACTGTTTTTTGTCAGACAGGCAAAAATATATTTTTTGGTATGACGCAGAATCTTAGTAGTTTACGTATGCCAAGAGATGAAAACGGTTGAAAATTCCTGACTTTGGAGGAAGCCAACAACATTGGAGAAGTTATCATATGCTAATACTTAACAAGTGCTTTTAAAAGTTCCATGAAATATCAAATATCATACCATTATGACTGGCAGATTTTTTTTAAAGAATAGTATTATACAGAGACACTATGATGAACGAAAACTAACGTAGTAGCAGGCAATTGAGAAAAAAGTTTCTAGGTTATGCCACCTGCATTTCGTAAAACATGGAGCCTTACGAAATACAGGGCACAAAATCAACTAGGTTCCAGCTTAAGTTAAGCATTTTCTTTTCCACAGTATTAAGTGCTGAAGTGAACCTAACAGTTGTCAAATACCAAAAAGGCTGACCCAAACTCAAAATAGGCACAGCGATCTTAAGGACCTCAAAGATGAAGAAGACGGGCGTCATAATCGGGTAATATCATTCACCTCCCAGTGGGAGGGAAAAGCCAATGGATCCTACCCATGAAACACTTGGCGGGGTAAAGAAAGTCGGCTGTGGGTTAAGCAAGCAGGAAGGGCAGAGCAGGAAGAGCTCCGACGCACCCAGCCGAAAGTTTCCCGTCCCCGCGCGGAGTGAGGGCTCCCGCTCACCCCGCCCCCGCCCGCCGCTACCGGGCCTGGCGCACCTGCCCCGGGCCCCGCGACCCTCGCCCTCCCCGTTCCGGTCCGGCCCCTCACTGGGCCGCACACCGCCACCCAGCCCTCAGCCCGGGGCTGCCACGTGGGAGGCGAAGGAAGGCTGGGCTCACCAGGTCCCTCGGGGTTGGACGGCGCCGGGGGCCGAGGGGGCGGGGACCCGCACCCGGGGTCCCCCTGGGCGGGCTCCCTCAGGTAGTCCTCGAAGCACACCTGCCGGGCTTCGCCGCCACCCCCGAACCCCCAGAGGCGGTTGGCCGTGCCCCGCAGAAGGCGCCCGCTCTTCCCCGTGATCGTGATCAGGTAGTCCATGCCGCCGCGGGGCAGGGGCCGAGGAGGCCAAGGGTCTCCGCGGCAGCCGCCACACCCGACAAGGGGGCGGTGGCTCTGAGCGCCTCACTGGAGGCAGGGAGGGGGCGAGGGCGTCCCCAGCGCGGCCCTGGGGCAAACCATCAGGGAACCACGCACCGGGGGAGCAGAAGCTAGACAAAGTTTAGAAAAGTTTTTCTTCTTGCTTCCAAACACCCACGCAGGCAAAATTGAGCTTCCAAAGGAGGAACACATCTCCTAGAACAGCTGCATGCGTTGAAAAGCTGGCGACTTTTCAGCAAGCCGATGGCCCCATCTGCTCCTCCCCCATGCTCGCCGCGCTCCAATGGAGCAGCCCGCCCCTCCCTGCCGGCCCCGACCCGTCCGGCCCCTATAGAACTTTGGGGACTGCTGGGGGAGTGGGTGGAGGCTCAGCGCTGCGGCTGGTGGGCTGAGCAGGGGATGAAAATAGCCCAGGGGAGGGTTTGCTGGCTTTTTATACACTTTGGGGCCCTGGTAGAGCAGTGGCAAAAAGTTTCGCTGCGGGGCGGGGGGGCGGGGTTGTCTGTGCGTGTTCGCGGAGGCGCACAATCCACGTGAAACTTCTCCAGCTTGTAATTTTGAGAGGCGGGGTGGAGAGGAGGAAGACGGGACGGTTAGTTTTAAGGTAAAATTGCAATCATAGTTAAAGTAAAACCAGCCTAGATAGACAAAATGCTTCTTAGGAAGCACTATGAGACCGTCGTCGTAAAATAAAGACATTAATAGCTACGTTTAAGGTTCGTCGTGGCCTGAATCGGGTCCTGTAAGGCAAGGTAATCAAGGGCATCAGCGTTGAACCTTTTACCCTCCTTTAGGCAGAGAAAGAGGGATGACTTTTGACAGACGTTTACTACGCGATTGATTTCGTCACCAGTGAGATCTGGTTATTCCTTTCACGTCAGTTTACAGCTCTTTTAGGTTTTCTTAAGCTTTTTTTTTTTTACCGTGCCATTAAAAGACTTCCTCCTTACCCCTTTTAATAAATTGATTGATCTTTTCCCCACCATCACTGATTTCAGCTGAAATTCTTACTAAGTTGGACAAAGTTCACCACTCTAACATCAGCATCACTTATATATATGTCTGGTTAAAAAAATAAAATGTTTGGGCACTTTTATATTTTTAGATTAATACTACCCCAGACTGTAATTCCCAGTGTTTGTGAGAAAGGACGCAGGGGTATGCATTAGCGCGTGTTCAGATACGCTGCATGGGAAAGCACTGCCCCAGACTCCCCGCCGTACCTCCTTTGCTCCTCTTGGGCAGAGTAGCTAGGTGGCTCCTCTTTTTTCTGCGATTTCTATTTGATAAGGAAGATTTACCATGCTCAGTACTGCTTCTAACATCTCAGGCTCAGTAAGCTTTCAACATCAAATTTCAATGACTGAAATCTAATCCTGATGAACTTAGATTGAAATTGTTTTCTAAGATACTTTACATTTTGAATTTTGGCATTTAGTTTGTGATAATCATACCCAAAAGTGTTTGAATATATTATACCTGATTACATTTGGCACTTCTACATGCAACCTTGGCGGGAACCTGTTCAAATACTGTTTTACAGGCAGTTAATCCATTTTTTTTTCCTGCTTCTATTTCATGGAAATCTAGAGCTGATGGAGAAAAAAATGTATAACCTTGATGATTAAGAACTTTACTATTTTTTATTTAAACCGAGCTAAGTCATAATGGCTTCAGAATCATTTTACTTATGTAATCACCTTTTTTATTCTTTATATTTGTTGTCTGAACCATCACCATTCTCCTGAAATTATCAAACTCATTACTCAAGCATGTTACTTCATTTTCTTCATGACTCAAAAAATCATAGGCCATCAGACGTGAACACTGTACCACACACACACAAATTCATCTTCCTATTTTGCCTCAGAAGGAAGTCCTTATTCCTGCAAATGTCTCTTCTTCTTTAAATTAGCTCTTGATCTTAGTCTGGTGTCTATTAGGTATAACTTGCCAGTCTTAATTATTCCTCTATGTTGTATTATTTTATTCTCTCTCCACTCTGGTTCCTGCCCCCTTATCCTACCTATTTCCTCCACATCAACCCTTCCTATCCTTAAAAAATTTTTTCTTTTATTAACATAATGATCTAAAAGACATATAATTCATCTGTTAAAAGTATTTAATTCAATGATTGTTAGTATATTTAAACAGTTGTTAAACCATCACCAAAATCTAATTTTTGAACATTTCTATCACCCAGAAAAGAAACCTCCTACCAATTCCCACGCCGAGATGTAGGCAACCATTAATCTACTTTATCTATAAATATTAAAAAACACTGATGTCTTGAAAAAATCTACTTTGTCTCTGTGGATTTGCCCTTAATAGACATTTCCTATAAATGGAATCATACAATATCTTGTCTTTAGTGTCTGGCTTCTTACACTTAATGTTTCTGAAGCTTATTGATATAGTAGCATGTATTATTAACTTCATTCCTTTTTATTGCCAAATAATATTCCATTACATGGATATATCACATTTTGTTTATTCATTCATAAATTCATGGACATTTGGACACATTTTTTGGCTGTTATAAATAAGGTTTCTTGAATATCTACATACAAAAGGTTTCTTGAATATCTACATACAAAATTTTTTGTGGATATGTTTTAGTATATACTTAGGAGTAGAATTGTTCATTCTTTTTTTTAATAACATAGTCGAAGTTAAGATATACAATGTGATGATTTGATAGAGGTGTATATTGCAAAACGATTGCCACAGGTTAATTAACACCTCCATTAACTCATAATTGCCATTTATGTGTGTGTGTCGTGGTGAGAACATTTAATATTTACCCTTAGCAACTTTCAAGAACATATAATAAACTATTGTTAACTATAGTCACCATGCTATAATTAGATTCTCAAAATTTATTCATTTTAAAATTGGAAGTTTGTAACATTTGAGCAACATCTCACCATTTCTTCAACTCCCAGCCCCTCTCAATACTATTCTACTCTCTGTTTCTATGCATTTCACTGTTTTTTATAGATTCCACATGTAAGTGAGATCATACAGTATTTATCTTATGGCTGAATAATATTCTATATATATATATATATATTCATATCTTCTTTATTTGTTCATCCAATAATGGGCAGATATCTCCTTAAGAGAGTGATTTCATATCCTTTGGATATGTGCATAACTGGGATTGCTGGATCATATCATAGTTCAATTTGTAATTTTTTGAGGAACTTCCATACTGTTTTCCACAGTGACTGTACCAGTGGTGTCCAGGGTTCCCTTTTCTCCACACCCTCACCAACACTTGTTATCTATCGTCTTTCTGATAATAGCCATACTAACAGGTATCTCAGTGTGGTTTGGATTTGCACTTCCCTAATGATTAGTGATATTGAGCATCTTCCCATGTACCATTGGCCATTTGTATGTCATCTCTGGAAAATGTCTACTGAGGTCCTCTGTTTATTTTTAATTGGAGTTTTTTTTGCTATTAAGTTTATGAGATCCTTGTTTGTTTTGGATATTAACCACTCATCAGATAGGCTGCAAATAATTACTCCCATTTCTTGGGTTGGATTTTCATTCTGTTGATGTGTCTTTTGTTCAGAAGCTTTTTAGTTTGATATGGCGCCACTAGTTTATTTTGCTTTTGTCACTTATGCTTTTGGCATCATATCCAAAAAACAAAACAAAAAAAAGCTATTGCCAAGAATAATGTCAAGGAGCTTTTTCCCTATGATTTTCTTCTAGGACTATTATGGTTTTAAGTTTCACATTTCAGTCTTTAAACCATTCTGAGTAGTTAATTTTTGTGTATGATATAAGTTAGGGTCCTATTTTATTCATTTACATATAAATATCCAGTTTTCCCAACATCGTTTATTAAAGAGACTGTCCTTTCCCCATTGAGTATTTTTGGCTCTCTCATCAAATACTAGTTGACAGTACGTACATGGTTTATTTCTGGGTTCTTGATCCTGTTCCATTGGTCTATGTGTCTGTCCTTGTGCCAGTACTATACTGTTTTGATTACTCTAAGCTTTGTAATACAGTTTGAAATCAGGATGTGTTCTTCTCTCCCAGGATCGCTTTGGCTATTTGGGGTCTTTTGTAGTTTAACATTAATTTTAAAATTGTTCTATTTCTGTGAAAAAATGCCACTGAAATTTTGATAGGAGTTGCACTGAACGTGCAGAGCAACTTTGGATGATATGCACATTTTAACAATAATAAAGTAAGAATGTGGTAAGGACTTACTGATGCCATCTTACTGCTTTGGGGCTGTTATGTAGTTCCTTAGTTCCTATCTTCCTCTTTTTGTCTTTCTTTGTAAATTAATAATTTTCCATATGGAATGTTTTGATTACCTTCTTTTTATGTTTTTGGTGTCTTCTGTAGTTGTTCGCTTTCTAGCTACCAAATAAAACATTTTATAACAGTCTTTTTTAAGCTGGTAACTTAATTTCAATAGCCTATAAAGACTCTACCCTTCTACTCCTGCCCATTTCACATTATTGATGTTACAATTTACCTCTTTTCACATTGTCTATCCAATAACAAATTATTGTAACCATAGTTTTTTTAAAAATACTTTTATCTTTTAACCTTTTTAATAGAGTTAAGCAATTAACATACCACCATATTATAGTTTTAGAATATTCTGAGTTTCACTAATTACCTGTACCAGTGTGATTTATATTTTCATATTTTCTGTGTTACTAATTTGAAATCCTTTTATCTCAGACTGAAGAATTCCTTTTAGTTCTTTTTTTTTGGGGGGGGCGGTAAGGCAGATCTAGCAGTGATGAAGTCCTTCAGCTTTTGTTGGGGAAAATCTTTTTCTTTCCTTAATCTCAAGCAAAGTTTTCTTATGTGGTACCCATTGGCAGCCATTTCATTAGATAGAAATGCCAGCACTCAAATTTCTGATGTGATAAGCAGAATCACTGATAGACTCAATAAAGTGAACTAGTTAAGGATATTTTATAAGTGTTAAGAAAATACAGAAATGAATCTGTCATTTACTTAGTACATCTGGATCTCTCAATAAACATAACGCTCAAATTGAAAGATAGCCAAATTGTTTACCTTGACATTAACCCTATCTTTATTCAAAGCCTTAATGATTCTTTTTCTACTAAAAGGCTTTTGCTAGTGTTCAAACTCCTTATTATGTGGGACTCTCACTTGTGCCAAAATTACCACTGCAAGGAGGTTGTTGTTTTGACACAGCCATGATCAAAACACCAGAGCGCATGTGATAAAGATTTAATGTGGCCTTGCAATAGAATGGGAAAGAGCTTAGTATTGGTTAAAAACAAATTCCCCTCCAGTAGATGCCAACCTTGGGTATAATCATTCCAAGCCCCACTAAACCATGTAGCTTTTTCTCAGTTTGAAAACTGTCTTAAAAGTGTTAACTACACCCTTGTCAGAAATAACATATATAGTAATCAAACAAGGACCCAGAAATACCATCATTAAGAATTGTAATAGAAACTTGGGTCACAATAAGTCACATCAACTTACCACAGGAACATTTCAGGACTATTCGAATGCCCTATCAAAGATTATAATTACCATTATATAATTTTAGCCCCAAGTACTGAACACCTGCAATGTGGCAACTTCTGATTTTGGATCAGTTTCACTTAGTTTATTGAACAAGTGCCAAAGATACTGCCATTTATGCCCAAAGTTGAGAAAACTTAATAAAGCTTTAAAAGTCTTTGGATCAAACCCCCTAAAGAGGAATGTTACAAAGACAAATGTTCATGTTCCCTTTCTTTTACAGATTTCTTTCACTGCAGGTTTCTTTCTCTTTCTACTGCCTGTACTGTGCGGGATTGGGGTAGAGTGTGCATTTCTACAGATGGAACTGTATGCATCCCCATTAAGTAGTCACCCTCTGTCCATCTTTCTGGACTCATCCTCTCCAACCTTGTCCTACTTCTCTCTTAATTTTATATTAGGTCCTTACATGTTGCTACCACTTCTTATTTATGTTATTAAATAGACTCTTGATAGTAATGTTCTTACTCTACAAAAGCTGATACATTAAATGCTTTATTTTAATATGTTATTTTTAGGATTTATGTTAAATATTTTAAAGTTATATAATAATGGAAAAGTCTGCTTAGTTTTTTTCCATAAAATAAAATACATTTTTCATTTTCATCAATCACTTTATTGATTTGGATATTTTGAGTATGTTGGCTATCTCCTGTGTGGTAGAATGTTGATTGTTCTCAATTAATGTCTCGATTTGATTGCTATCAACTTCAACTGATCTACCCAACTGTGGAGCATAGTCCAGTAAGAAATCTCTAGCACAAAAGTTAGTAAACCACTTTTGACATGTTCAGTCAATCACAGCGCCTTCTCCATCCACTGCTTAATTTTCTTGCATTTCAGTTGTGTTTTTACCTTTCTTGAAATAATAAAGCATATTGTGCCAAATATTTTTTCTACCTTCAATATTAAAATGGCTACACGAAAATTCACCAATTTTGATGTTTTTTTTAACACATGCTGAGTGACAGCTGTCACAATACAATCTAACAAAATTGTTTCTCATGAAGTTAAAGGCAACTAAGTGCTACTAGAGCCATCAGTTACATTTTGGAGAAGACTGTATTAGAAATAATTTCCCTATCTTTGCTCTGAGAGAACAAAATAGTTTAGAAGAAACTTCTGCCTGCTACTAGTTATTACTTTCATGCCAAAATGCCAGTTTCTAGCTTCAGTCTATAGCTGGCAGTCAGGTGTGTGTTTGTTTTCACCTGTTTGGCGGGGGGGAACGGAACCCTGGGCTCTGTCAATACAAGACAGTTTGAAGAACAGCAATAAAGAGAGAACCTGTCCACAAGGCCATCCATCTCTCAGAGGAAAGCACTGGGCAGCACTGCCAAGTTCTTCTCAATGTTCCACTTGTTTCAGTCATGGCACATGAACAGCAAACTGGTAGGTGCTGGGAATAATGTTTGAAAGGAAGAGAATCTATTTTTCTTCCCAGAGTGTATGGGGGTTCTCTGTCTCTCCACATCCCCATCCCAAACACCATGGGGGAGAGACACTCGTAATGCCAGAATCCAGGCAGATGTAGGAGGAGAAACCAAAACCTGGACTGTCGGCCCTTAAATAATCCAGCACTGGCCAGACAGATTTATTTTCCAAAAGAATCATGCCCAGGGCATTTTCTCCCAGTGCAGATCTACTCTTAACGGTCTTCCCAGAAGGCAGAAGACACTGCAGTATACGTAATCAGTTCTGTGGTGCCCTAACAGGCATGTTTGACCACTTCTAGCAACCTCTCAAAAGAGAATCAGGTCATGCCTACCTACCCCAGGCACCACTCCCTATCCAGAGATGTCTATGGGTGCTGAGTTGGCTCTACAGCCAGCACTGTCTGCAGCAGTGGCATATGAAATGTTTACTGAAATGAGGAACAAGGACTGGTTGGCAGCTACTTTGTGACTACCCTACTGGTTTTCTGGGAGTCAAGGAAGGGAGCAGGGAGGTGGGGGATGATTCTGAAATAGAGAAATTTACAACAACATTGTTAGGCTCTTAGACTGAGCTGGCGCTGCTAACACACTATGATATAAAAGGGGGTACACACCCCCAAAATGTAATTATCTTATGAAGGGCAGGTCCCTTGTAGTGTAGGCTTCTCCCACTAGGTGAGTGTTCTAGGAACCCATCTGTATGAGTGTACCAGCTAGCACTGTTGTGAGAGGCTGCCTTTGGCTTCAGACAATTTTTTTGAAGACTCTTTTAACATGTTTGTCCACTTCATGATGGGTGATTTACGAGTGCATTGCACTGCGTTCAGCAGTTTTTGACCAAAACCAGCATGACCCCAGTGCCCCCACCTCCCTATTGACCCAATAAAAAAAGTCTTCAAAGGGAAATGTTTTAGCAATGTGGAAGAGGTTAAGCAAAAAAACGGCAGAAGCACTAAAAAGCATCAAAATCAGTGAGTTCAAAAACTGTTTTGAGCAGTGGAAAGCTAGGTGTATTGCATCAAATGGATAGTACTTTGACGGTGAGTGACGTTTAAACATATAAGAATAAATACACAATGTTTTTATAAATAAATTGCTTTTTGGGGTCCCCTCTCACATACACAAATACATTTATGTTTACTTTTTGAACCCTATATGTCTGTGACATGAAATCTCCCTGCATCTAATTTCTTCCCTTAATACCACCTCTAACACGGCAGCAGGGTAATCTTAAATCTACGTATCTAATTGTTGCTTTTCCTCTATTTTAAAAACACTACTTGTTCAGAGCAGTTGCTTCCTGTTGATAATAAGAATCAGCTGTGGAACATTTTATAAAATGCAAATTTCCCTCCTATACCCCAGAGATCCTGATTCCAGGGTCGAGGGGGGGTGGGGTTCAGGAACCTGCATTTTTTGATTATGAAACATGTTTGAAATCTGCTCCCTTATAGTTCTTCCAAGTGCTTTTGCATATTTAGTCCACGTGCATGACACATTAATTTCTGAAATAGGGTCATGAGACTAGTTTGGCAAACACTGAGCAGAACTGACAGGTGTGGCTTACACTCCCATGTAAAGAACAGCCTCTGTACAAAACAGTCAATGTGTTGCGCTCCAGATGCCTCTGCCCCTGCCTTAGCAACCAAGGATACACACTACCTGCATCAGATGGGACAGTTATGAGATGTCGGTACCACCTCCAACAGCCTGGATCCCTGAGAAGCTGTGTGGATCAGAGCTCCCCCACCCCCAACCAGAATTGGGTATGTAATATGAGCAAGAAATAAATACTACAACAGGCCATTAAGATTCTGGGATTCATTTAGCACCATAAACTTAGCTTACCTCAACTGTTTTTCAAATGCTTACTTTACATTTATTTTTATCATGTATGCCAAATTAATATACTGAGCATTAGGTTATTTATGTTGTGAATTTAACGCATTTTATTTTTCAGGCTTCTCTTGCCATTTCTGAATTCTGATGAGTTTTCTTAGATTGCAAGACTATTAATTGGTTTTTATCATTTAAACGAAGATGGGAATGGGATTTTCTTGACATTATAAAACCCAAAGCATGCAAACAAACATATAACCAAGTCACAATGAGTAGAACTCTGAGGTGCTGATGCTAAAAAGAATCCATCAATTATCTATTACTCCCAGCATAAAACTTCAGTTTCATTCATATCAGCCCAATTCTCTCAGTAAATGCCTTTATAATCAGAAAATATTACAAATTTGAACTTGTAAAACACCATGCGTGCTCATAAAATGCCATTTTTATGTTTTATATATTGGTTTTCTGTAAAACTATATTAGCAAAGATTGAAAAGAATTGCTTTTTGAGTTACAAAGAGTGTCAATTCTCTTTCACATGATGCCCTGAACAAGTATTAAGAGTAATCCTTCTGGACTTGAGAAGGGCTTTGGTGTTTATCTAGTTGAGTCTGTTATTTGTATTGCTTTGTTAGCCAAAGTCCAGAGAATTCAAGCGAGTCTCTCGAAGGTCACACACTTGACTAAGAACAGAGCCAGAAGAACCCAGGGCTTTCGCCTGGGGAGTGCGGCCCCATAAAGTACTCCACCTGAGTGAGTAATTGGGAGTCTCTCAATTCACCCAAACATTTGCTGATGTGGCATGATGTCCCATGAAATGTTACCCAGATGGGAAAGCCAGGTCAAGCTATTTATTCTTGAGATTTGGCTCTCTCATCTGCAAAAGAAGAGCAAACAATGCCTACCTTGTTCCTCTGTATGTAATGTGTTAGGCCCATTGTTCTTGGGCCATAAAGGAACAAATTTAGATTTACCACCTTCAGATTTCAGCCTACATACATCTAGATGAGAGTTCAGCAAAATCTGGGCCATGGGTCAAATCTGGCCTGGCACCTGTTTTTGTAAATCCAGTTTCATTGGAACACAGCCACACTGGTTCATTAATGTATTGTCTAGGGCTGTTTTAGGGCTACAGCAGCAGAAAAGGGCTAGTGTTTCAGACACCTGATGACCCAGAAGACTAAAAAATTTACTCTTTTGCTGTTTTCAGAAAAAATCTGCTGACCTACATTCTAGATTTCTGAGATTTGTTTGAAAGTACTGTTGATTCTCTCCTTTGCACTGTCATTGAATATCTCTCTCACCGAGTCAGCCACACATTTGTCTCTGTTCCATCATGAACATGGACAACAGTGTGGTGATTGCGGGCAGGTGGGGCCTAAGGGGGACAAATGGTAATGGAAAAAAATAAAATGAAAAAAATTTTTAAATTTGTCTTTCTCTTTTTTTGTGTGTTTAATGAGACATGGGCTAGGAGAGTCACATCACCCAGCACATGAGACCGCATTCCTGGTTGACAGTGATTACCACTCACTGGACACAGTATCTGAAGAAGTCTGAATCCACTAAATGGCACCATCACCCAGCTCTCATTTGTCAACAATGTCATTATTTGTTGAATGCCTTCCTAATATGCAGGAGATGATGAGGCACAGACTCCAAGGGGTCAGTGTTTTTCCAGTTCCAAGTGGTTTCAACCCTTGGTTGTTTCTATGTCCTTCAATTCCATTTCAACCCCATTTTTAAAATTTAAATTATTCATCTAACTACAGTTTTCTGGCAGACCTCCTATTTTCTGGGTAGAGACTGGTTAGCTGTCACCAAACCTGATTATTCTTTTTTCCTGGACACACTACATTTCTCAGTTTTCTTTTCAATTGGGGTGTCTAAGTGACTAATTTCTAGCTAATGGAAGGATTACAAAAGTGATGTGTGCTACTTTCAAACCTGGCCCGCAAAAGCATCCACTGGCGACCCTCCATAGATTTTTCCTTTTCACAGCCTGGAAAAGAGGAGCATGGAGACCTGAGAAGCCACTTATTAAAGATGCAGAGCCACAGGAAAGGAACCTGGGTCCCTAAATCCACTCTGAGAGGAGAGCGACCCACCACTCAAGAACGCCGGTTTCAGACTTGAACAAAAAACGAACTCATAGTGTAGTTAAACCATTATACGATACATATTTTGAGGTCTGACTGTTATAAAAAGGGGTATAATTTTCACAAATACACTATCTGACCTATAATATTACTATCAACTTTTCTGTGCCACACATAAAAATTTACTGATAACTCAGTTTTCTGGAGCAAGAGGTTAATAATACATGTAAAGTGGATGTGGGTAATCTATCTTCACCCATGCTAGCCTACAACTTTCCATTTCACAGTTTTTGTTTTGTATTTTCTAGTAGCTCATTCTTCTTAAGGAAAATAAAGCACAATGGGCGGTATGCTTGGTCTGCCTTCTAACAATCTGTTAAACGCTGCACATCTTCCTCAAAAACAGAACCTCACCCTTCTTATTCTCCCTTATTCTAGGACTTCCCTTTTCACAGAATGAGCCTACTGTGGTTAGCTAGTTTTTTTAGCGTGTTTTGGCCTTTATGACACTCTTTAATTTTATGCCATCCTCTTACTTGTCCTTGGAATATACTCTTGCTATTTCTGCCTCTTCTAAGAGCTAAGTTCAGAGGGCATCTTGTCCAGTCACACTGGCTTCTCCCCATCTTGCTTTCTTATTAAGACTATTGATGACTTCATTTGATTTTTTTTTGTAATGATACTATCTGCCATGTAGGCCTTTGTTCTAGTCTTTGAAATTAGATTAAAATGATTTGTTTGTGTATTGTTAGAACATAGCCTGGGATGTAGTAGGCACTCAGATATTCTATTTTGTTGAATAAATGAGTGAATGAAATCATGTCCATCTTTTCTTTCAATTAGATTCCAACCCACTTTTCTACAACCCAAGGATCAGATGCAATTAAGTCGAGCTCACCCCTTCTCTTCATTATTAAGGAGTGCCAATTGTCTGATACTCTTTCTTTTCTCTCAAAGAGTAGTTCTCAGCCTTGGCTATATATTTTAGGAGTTTTTGACAATCCCAACATTCAGGCCACACTCCAGATCAATGAAATCTAAATCTCTTGGGAGGTAGGATACAGACAGCTGGGAGGACACTTCCCAGGTGATTTCTATGTGCAGCCCAGACTGAGAATCACTGCAGGGCTCCTGTTGTGTCCTTCATACAATACAATCTTCCTCGTTAGTGAAACTTAAGTCCAGACACGAGTAAATATTATGGCGCCATCTTGTAAGGGGTTGCCAGATAGTAGTAACAGACATGTATCAATTATTTACTAGGTCTGGCATTGTATTAAGGGTATTTCCTACATTATTTCCATTATATCTGAGCTCTCCTTTGCAAACAAGGTTACTGGGGTCAGAGAGGTTAAGGAAAGCAACATGACCAATCAGGTTAGCCAGGAGTATCTTGGGTGTTTGCTCGTAACTTACTGATATCAACAGCACAGTGGACTTTCAATCATGGACAGTTTTGCCTCCTAGTAGGTTTACAGATAAAATATAGGACTTTTAGTTAAATTCAAATTTCAGATAAAAATAAAATTTTAGTACAAGTCTATACCAAATGTTGCATGGTACATACTTATACTAAAAGCTTATTTGCTGCTATCAGAAATTTAAATGTATCTGGGTGTCCTCTGGTTTTACTTGTGAAATTTGTCAAATGTTCCCCCAGGAAATATTTAGAGATACTACCATTACCTGAGGGTGTGCTACTGGCATCTAGTAAGCTGAGGCCATGATTCTGCTTATTGGGCAATGCTCAGGACAGCCCCCCAATGAAGAGCTGTCCCACTTTAGATGTCAGCAGTGCCCAGGCTGAGAACCCCAGACCCACAGATGCTGGGAAAGATTGAGCACTCCCATACCTACATCATGCCTCTGGCTACTTTTATAGCCTGTCTTCAGAAAGCCTTATTTTCATGTCACTTCCTGACATATCTTTCTGTGCTTTCTCTTTCTGCCCCTCATTTTCACTTACCACCTTCAAAATCTGTGGGGTCCCAATGAAAACCCATTCTCTCAAGTGTTCCTTGTACCAACTTGATTTAGCTGCAGTTAGTTCAAAGAAATCTTAGACTGAAAGAAAGGTGTGAGAAAAGCCCGCATAGTCAATATAATTATGATAGGTATGTGCAAAATAGTGTATTGCTAACAATAGAATAATGCTTCTTTAGCCAGCAAATATGTATGTTGTGAATACCATTAGCATGGGATTATCTGATTTTGATTCTATGGAAACTAATTATAAATTGTACAAACTGTTATCAATGCAAAATAATAAGGACATTATTGTCTTTAGTAAGTAAAAACTCTGTTCAATAGATTTTGAATTAACTTTCCTCCCCAATATGGAAGAATGTGCCTCCAGTAGCACATTTATGCATGTATGTATGCATGTATGTATGCATGTATTTATTTTCTCCACTCAGACTGTGTTCTCTCCCTCTCACTCTTCCAAAGGACGAGAAGAACAGACGCCAATGGCTATGGCAGTTGCAAAAACAACACCAAAAACCAGCTTCATGCTCAGAAGAAAACACTGTGTCTTCTCCTCGTGGTTTCAGGTGCTCTACACATTCCGAGAAACTTCTCTAGTCAAGAACTATAGAAATGATCCCTGAAAGTACAGTCGTTGCACATTTGTTTAATAATCCTGACCTATAATATGGCTATTTGGATTCTCCTTTGAACTGGGGTAACATCTTACTGGATCCCTCATTAATGAGTTAAATAAAATATTTAATGTGTTCCTTTTTATATGTCTTGATTTTACCTTTTTGGGGGGTAAAGTTATCCTTTAAAAGTATCCTCTTACTGTTTTATTTCTCTGATAGAACCCATTTGGGTTGCACACACTTGCACATACACACATTAAAGCTTACTCTTGATTTAATTAAATTCTTTTAAAATAGAGAAAATACAATTTTTGCTATAATTATTAATTCTTTAAACAATGAAACTTTGCATCATGCTTCTTCTCAAACCCATCTACAGTTTTAAATGAGTTTTTGATCTTTTACAATGTGGTTATATTTTATAACCATGTTAAGAGTAGCAACAAGGTTAGGGAAAACAACAAATTATGCTAACTACAATTCTGTAGCCAACGATTATAATATTGTGCTGTAGCAGAACAGCTGAGGGGTAGAGGGGTGAGTAGAAAATGTTTGTGGAACGCCACAAGATCACGATTTAACTAACTACCAGGGTTCGTTTGTGCTGAGGGCTGGCAAGAAGTACAGAGAATTTTATGCAGAGGCTGTACTGTGGAGGAAACAGAGAGACTAGATGACTGGGCATCTGTAGGAAGAATAAGGAAGAGGGAGAAAAAACAAATCAGGTGTCTACAAAACTGAAAATCGCACACATCTAACAATGTAACATCTTGAAACTAGAAAGCCTCTTGGGGGCATAACCTAAATTAAGGAAGCACAAGGAACAGCACCTGAGTGTCAGAAGTTCCGATTCAGAGTCACAATGAAAATGCCCTCCACCATCCCATGACTCATTTATTTCTCCTAGTACATATTTGTCTGAAGGAAAATCTTAGGTGCTCTGGTTTATTCCATTAAATCCAAACCAATGGACCCAAATATAGTACGGGAGAAAAACTCCTTGTGGTTAAAGCAGGAAGGCTTCTGGAAGCAAAGTCTTGTTCATCCACTGACTCACTCTGTAAACATGAGGCACCTACTAAACCAGTCAGGCGTTGGCAGTTCCTCTGTGAACAGAACAAGGTCTGCGTCTGGGGATGCTGGCCGAGTTTATTAGCTTCTGAGAACCATTCTCAGGTTTCTATAGGCAGGAGCCGGAAAATATAAAACACATGACCACAAACACTGCCACTTAATAAGTGACAGAAGAGCTTGGTTTTTCTTTTTAATAGCTTAGGGAATCTCGTTTGCTCCCTTTTCCAGAAGCCAAAAAAAAAAAATGATACGTTTGGAATGGGTAGGTGCATTAAGGTAAGGGTTTATGCTATGTTGAAAGGAGTGCCTGTGTATATGACAAATACACACCAGTTTAAAGGGTTTGCTATTGCCCGTGTAACATCAAAAGGCCTTAGTCTGCTCTTGCCAGCACAGACTCTCAGCAGGGTAAAATCAGTACAGGACGCTCTTTTAAATACTTAAGCTGGGGGAGTAGGTAGCACAGCATTCCATCAGTCAACCATACAGTGCCCCAAGAAGGAGAAAATGGGGCGTCAACACATGCACCCTTGACTGCTTTAAAAAAAAACACAACTAAGGCATTAAATCTAAGATCAATGGCCCATAATATTCACAAAGTATAACATCTACCATAGAATAATTTTTGAGAAAGGGAGCTTGACAGATTTTTTAAGTCTTCTGGCGTTTACCAGGACTACGTCTAAAATTGCCCCAAACCGATGAATATGTCTTGTTTCTAAAATCCTCTGCAGAAAGATTCTCTGGCATCTTGTTCAACGGTTAAGCCTTTTTTACTGTAAGAAACTTTTTTCTTTTAGTTATTTCTAAAATATCTATAGCACAAGACCATTTTTTGGCATTTAAAAATTATTAAAAATTCGATCATACTCAAAAGTAGAAGAATATCATGGCCCATCATATAGGTTAAAAAATTTTCAAGATTTTGTATCACTTATTGCTATTTTCTTTGCCAAAACATTTTAAAACAAATCCAAGACATTTCACCCCTATACGCTTCAGAGTACACATCTAAATTTTAAGAGATTTGAACATTCATATTAACTGTTGGGTGCTATTATCACACCTCATGAAATAGCACTCATTCCTTTGTAGAATCCAAGACCTAGTCCTTGCCCACGCACCCCGCTAGGTAACAATGTCTTTTTGCAGTTTGCTTGTTGAACCATGGTCTAAACAAGGTCTACACATTACAATTGGTTAAGTCTCTAGGCATCTAGACCAGGGTTTCTCCAATTCTCATGTGCAAAGGAATCATTTAGAGATCTTACTATTCGGTCAAGTCTGGGGCAGGACCCGAGAAATTGCATGTCTAACGATCTCCCAGATGGTGCTAATGTTGCCAGACTCGAAGTGGACCACACCCGGAGCAATAACATCCCAGCAAAGCCCCTCTGGTTTTTGTTTGTTTGTTTTCTCCAGGCCACTGGCTTATTGCAGAAACAGTCAGTGATCCTGGGCTACGCCCCAAGGTCTGGATGTCCATGTTTGGTTTTGTGAGATATTACTGAACTTATTCTTCCATTACCCTTACTTTCTCTAAATAATGTTAGCTCAAAACACGTGAATAAATCTAACCTTACCTTTTGGGTAGGAGTATCTTAAGAAGTATTCTGTGATTCAAATAATTATTCAGTCTGTGTGACTATCATTGGTGTCATGGTGACTGTCATGTTAAAGGGCCAGCTCTAGAGTCATATTTCTATGATTTAACTTCTACCTCCATCAATTCCTACTTATATAACCTTGGACAAGTTCATTTCCCCCAAGAGTCAGTTTTCTTGGCTGTAAAATGGGTATAATAATATTAATAATATCTATCTTATAGAGTAACTGTGAAGAATGACACAAGCTATTGTTATTGATTTTGTAATCTTTTTTGTCTGAATTGAAATAGTTTAGTTTTGGGGACTTTTCTTCTAAGTCCTTAAGCTAACTTTTTAGCTCTTTGTTCATCTTAGGGAATGTGTCATTCATTCATGTAAATCTATATAAATTATATACCCTTTTGGTGTGTCATCATTAATAAAGACACATTTTGACATGACGAGTGGGGCTTAGTCTGAGAGTAAATCTTCAGGAGATTTACGGAAGTTGAGCTGATGAGGCACTCTAATATTTCATTATCTTTTTGAAACAGGCTACTGACGTTGGGAGAGAATCCCCAATTAAACTTGATCCTTTGAGGAATCTAAGAGTCCAGGGAAAGAAGCCTGGGGCAGCCCGAAACAGCACTGTGCATTCTGAGTCTATTTTAGGACAACAGGAACACAGCACATGATTTACATGGACATGAAGTCGGCAATTGTAAGTTAAGCCATGACTTGTAAATTAATTTTCCCCTTTACATAAATTCAGTCGGCACATAGTCACTTAGAGTCATTTTTCATAACAAGCCAGTGCTGGCCTAGACGATCAGCACCAAAAGTGCCTTGGGCAATGAGCCCAGCACTGTTCTGCACTTTGCTCTTTGCTCTTCTTCCGTGTGAGCTTGATTTTCTCAAATGTCTTTGCTATGAGACTACAAATATATCTGTTTCAGAGATGTATTCTGTTAGTTGAAGGTGATAGAGAAAAATATGTGAGGGCAGAATCGGCAGAGTACTAGGACGAAAGTGAAATAATAGAAGGGAATGTTTTGAAAGTCAGTTCCTTTTGAAGAGTTATTGGCAAGGCAGCCATATGGTAAAAGAAGAGTAGTGATATTACCGCAGTCTTACTATTAGGCAGTATTTTGGAATCATAGGTATTTATAGGTGATACAAATCAAGAATAACTGGAAATCATATGCTAAACTACGGAATTATATTTAGCAACAAAAGGCAGCAAAATTTAAAGGAAAAAAAGACTGGTATTTAAAAAGTACCTTCCCCCTTTTACAGCTATGATACAGAAATAACACCTATATACACCTAAATCCAGATCCATGCAGAACAAGCATCCGTGAGGGAGGACCACCTATCTGTCATCAGAGAACAGAGTATTTCATTCCACATGTTTTATTTCCAAACACTTGACCACATTTAGCCTGAAATTATTGATTAAAAGCCAAACATGAAAAGGAATTAGATGGAATGAGAGTATCCAGAAACAAAGTAGCATTTTATAAACCTATTTAGATTTTAAGCCACAGCAGCCTTCCAGATAAAAAGCACAGAAAATGTGCTATGTAATCCATCTATCCAAAAGTGGATGACACTACCAAGCTGGGTGTGTACCTATGTACACACTTAAGCACATAAGTACTGAAGTACATAAGTACTACCATTTGAAGGGAGTATCTGTTTTCACATTAAGTATAAAGAACACAATTTTTTCTCCCTAAACCTTTTATTAAGATCTGAAGGGTAGGTCTAATTGCATTGTGTTGTATCTTTCTTTATTGCTAATATTTGCATGATCTAAATCTCCTAGGAAAAACTTCTGTCTTCCCATTCTATATTTAGGTTTAGGGAGCATATCTATAATATTTTCTCAATGAGTATAGACATCTTCTGTCTTTTTGATTAGACTATGAACTAAAATACTCCCAGTGCCTCCTATTTCAGTTTCTAAACTGCAAGTATGTAGCATTATTTTTTGCACTGACTGCTGATGAGGGGTACATGAGTATATAAAGTTGTAAAAAATAGCAGACATGGCAATTTCCTCAGAACAGAGGACTAAAGTTTTACTGAAGGGATTTTGATTAGAGGATATTGTTCATTAATTACTGTACCAGTAATATGTTTCCAAGAAAATGTGTGTTGAAAATCACTGAATGTATTTATCAGTTTTTCTTGGAATCAAATCTCTCCTAGTAGATTGATTGTGATCTTTTACAGCATGACCTAGTTCATTACTGGCACACAGTATTGGTGGCACACAACCATAAATATTTGGTGAATGAATTAATGAATAAATACAGAACACAATGAAAACATATTACACGTCCACTAAGCACTCCAAATGTGACTCATATCAATAAAATTGTTTATATTTTTCAATTCAATTTTTAACTACTTAAAAATTAAAGCCACAAAGATATTTTGATAGACTTTTTGTGTGCTCAAAAAG